AATTGGTACTAACGTACTGTTCGTCGCCTCGACAACTAAACCATTTATATATATGGTAACCGAATAACCCCAAATTTGATTATGTCCACCAATACGTCTTAAAACATTTTTTCTTTAATTAAACAAGTGGAAATATTATTGGTTGCAATGTAAGTTATGTCTCCTTTGTGAGACCTGGTCTGCTGAAACTTCAATTTTTTTTCATTTTCTTTCCCACAAACCTCAATAGACCATATATAGTAGTTTTAACAATGAGAAGATATATAAACATAAGGGAAGTTTACTAGAATAAGTCAAATTAGTTCAGTAATTAATAGAATAAGTCAGTAAAGTTTGAAATTACTAAATACTTTTTAGGGTCGAAAATAAGCCTTTTTACAATTGTGATTGAAAAGGTATATTACAAAATTGCCATTTAAAATTTTCTAAAATTTGCGTCGACAGATTTATTTAACAAAAAAAATAAATCTATCCTGACATAAATCTGTTAATTAAACCTGCTGTGAAATTTACATCTGCCGTGTATTTGGTAGCAGACTTTTGAGTTACAACAGATTTGTTTAAGATGGCTGATTTATCTGTCCGATTTAATGTTGACAATAGATTTATGTGTTTTTGACTATCGAACGAAGTGGCCGATTTTTTAAAATTGCCGGTTTTATATCGTATCAGTTAGATTTTTAAGACCGATTTAAAATTACCTTCAACCGAGTTTTAATGAGTATCAGATATAAATTCTTATGACATATATGTTTATCCGATTTAAATTTATGGTCGACTTTTATATTAATTTGGTGGCAGATTTTTAAAATTGACATCTTTGACGGCAGACATATTAAAATTTTTTAATTACCACATTAAGATACACTTTTGTAGCAGACTTATCTACACGAATTTTCTGGTTAAGTTCACAAGGGTTTCGGTTTATCTTAACTTGGTTATGTTTAAATGATTTTCGGTTTTTATTAATTTTAAATTTTGGTTTAAATCAATTTGTTCTTGGTTTAAATTAATATAAACTTCCTGTTAAAACAAAATTAAAATTTGGTTTAAATTAAGAAGCATACCTCACGTTTTCCAATTAGGTTTACTTTCTCTGTCGTCTTCTTCTTTCTGTTACCTCTCATTCATAAATTTTGAATATACTTTCATGGAGATCTACAACGGTGTCTTATAAATCATATCGATTGAAGAGTAATGGAACACATGATTGTCGTCTCTGGGAAGTGGAAAGTTGAGAAAACGAAGTGGTTATTTGAAGTAGATAATGATTGAGGTAGCATAATAGTTTCTGCGAATGAGGACACTCGATTTGAAGACTTTGTGAAAATCATATTTGAGGATTATGGAGTTGATTATGCAGAAAACGACTTGGAACTGAGGTACCTTGTTCTGAAGCAGAATCTACACAATCAAAACTTCAATACACCACCTGTGAAAATAGCAAACGAAAGGCAGTTTCATATTTTTTTGGGTCTTCATAAAGTCAAGAACGTTTGGCTATGTGTAGAGTTTAAAGTGAAAAAAAAAAATCGTTGGAGAAGGAGCTGGTGAAGATCAAAAACAACTCATACAAGGAGATGACTCATTGTGTGAAGAAGAAGAAGATACAGACGAAGAGGGTGATCGATTCGATTACTGCGATGATTCTGATGGAGCAACATCTGATGATGAAAACTTTACTACATATGGGCTTCCACCACAACATGTAGAAGAGGTTCATGGATCTTGTACAAAGATGATTTATGCAGGAAAGACAGAAAGAAGAGAGTCTCCAGTATGTCTGATTTGCGCTCATTCAAATTTGATGTGGGGCAGAGTTACGATTCGAAATATGCATTGGAGACACGTTTGAAGATATGTTTTGTTGTCCACAAGTTTGATTTTGATGTCATTGCATCAACGCGAACACTGCTCTTTGTAAAATGTTGGATATAAGGATGTACATGGAAGCGAAGAGCTACGCCAATAGGTGACTCTTTCAAGTTTACAGTCCGAGTATATGTAGATGAACACACCTGCTCTGTAACGGAACGCTCATCTCGTTCCCGACAAGCTACTCCTGAGATTCTCGGACTCTTGTACAAAGACTTTATTGGTGGGGTTGATCCATCTATTTTGCCACATCATGTTTCTAGTGCTATGAACTCGAGCTTCGGAATCAAGGTTAAATAAACTTATGCTTCAATATATTGTCTTCTCCAGCCGTTACTTCATTTTAAATGGGTTAATGTTTATTGTTTATTGCAGATGGATTACTGGAAATCTCATCGTACACTTATAGTTGCTAAAGATCTCGTAATGGGTTCTTCAGAGAGTGGATATAAGGAATTACCTACTTACTTGCACATGATTAAAATGTCAAATCCTGGGACTGTAGCTAAACTGGATGTTGATACAAACAACAGATTTAAGTATTTATTCCTTGCATTCGGCGCTAGCATTACTGGATTTCCATATATGAGGAAGGTTGTGGTGGTTGACGGAACGTTTTTGCAAGGGAAGTACAAAGGAATGCTTCTGATTGCAACCTCCAAGATGGTAATTTTCAAATCTTTCCCATTGCGTTTGATGTGGTTGACACAGAGAATGATGAATCATGGACATGGTTTTTCCGCCAACTCAGCCGTGTGATCCCCGATAATGAAGGATTAGCGTTAATATCTGACATGCACAAGTCGATAGAGAAAGCTATTGTAATGGTCTATACATTGGCAAGCAGGGGAATTTGCACATACCACTTATATAAAAACATCTTGTTACGATACAAAGGGCGTGATTTGTTTGGATTGGTCAAAAAAGCCGCCTATTCTTTTAGGTTAACGGATTTTCAAGAAACCTTTGAGACAATCAAAGAGTTAAACCCAGCTTTGCATGCATATCTAGAACGTGCTGATGTACGTAAGTGGGCACGAGCTCATTTTAAAGGTGATAGATATAACCTCCTTACAAGTAACATAGCTTAATTAATAAATCGAGCTTTGTCCGGTGCTAGAAGTTTGCCAATTGTTCACCTTCTAGAGTCGATCCAGTTAATGATGACACACTGGTTTGCAACAAGAAAACATGACGCTGAGTTGATGAAAACCTCTCTTACTCGTGGTGTAGAAAAGGTGTTGGAGGTAATATATTTTGTTAGGTCGTGTAATATTATAGACTATTTGCTAGTATACTAACCTTTAAATTTTGCAGGACCGGATACTTATTGCTAAACTACTAAAAGTTCAAGCAATAGACATTCATCAGTCATAAGTGACAGGAGTCTCGTCTTTACATGTTGTAAATCTGACCGAGAAGAAATGTTCTTGCCGTAGATTTGATTTGGAGAAGCTACCATGAACTCATGCTATAGCTGCTGCGGAAGCTAGGAAGATGTCATGTATATTACTTTGTCATCGTTACTATAGGAAGAAATACATGTATAACGCGTAACATGAGTTATGCCCAAAGATGATACCGTTCCTATTCCAGAAGAGCTTGCCAAGAAGATATGTTTACCACCAGAGGTCCGCCAACCACCGGGAAGACCAAAAAAATCAAGATATAAATCCATTTTGGAGAAAGTTGTAATTAAGAAGCGGCCACGGAAGGAACACTCATGCCGAATTTGTAACTAGAATGGTCATAATTCAAAAACATGTTCTCTTAAGTGATGAGTTTTTATTTAGTTTGAGACTGGTCATTATATTTCATTTCGTGTGGTGCAACATTACGTTTAACTTCTTTATTCAGTAGAATTTGGTCATCATACTTCATTTAACTTGGTGCAACATTACGTTCAGTTTGTTTAGTGTACTTTGGTCATTTCATTATGGTTCATTAGTTTGTCTTTTTCCAGAATTTGTAATGTCCTGATAACAAGTGAAAGAGACGAGCCAAAAGTAAAAAAACTAACCATCAACGTTAAACACCCATATTACACATCCAAAACCAAGAAAATACCATCCAAAATAAGCAAAAACCTAGAGTTATACATCCGAGAAAAAGCAAGCAAAGAAAAACAGAATACAAGTTATACTTCTTAATCCTCCATACCCACCTCGTCATAAATTTCTGCAGCCATCTTCAATCGTATTTCTGGTATGATCTGATCACTTAAGCCTACAAAATTATACCCCATAGCTAAACATTCAATATACTTGAGAGTGTAGACGCCGCAGTCTCCTGGGTCTTCATTTTGAGGGATCTTCTTGTGCATACGAAAAGTGAACTGCTTGTCACGCTTTCTTTTCGACTTAGGAGTGACCATCTTGTTAAGCAATGCAGGAAGCATTTTCGTGAACGGAAAGCACTCCTCTTGCATCTTCTTCTCAGTCATCACAGTTCGAATGCTATCATAAACATGTATTACAACCTTATGCAGATCAATGTGAAGAGTAACCCAGTGGTTTCCGTTGACATGGTGGCAGAGGAAGAGAGAGTCAACGTCTTTAAGCCACTTCTTACCCGTGACAAATTCAGCTGGATATTCTCCATTGAAAGCTAAGCTATAATGTTCTGGCAACTCATTTGTCTCATCAAACTTCTTGTAGTCGTTAACCCATGATTTCACAAACCAGCGGCCCAGGAATGCAATTTGAGGAGAGGAATATGGAGACTGGGATTGCATGGAGCGTCTGTGAAACATACGCATTGCTGCGGCCATGTGTTGTGACATTAAAAAACGACACAATTAGAAAGAATTTATTCATAATGGATACACAAACATAAACTTACCGAATCATGCAACCAGCCATAATTCTTCGTTGACCAAACTTCTCTTGGTATCATCAAGGCCAAATAAAAGCTTGCGCTTTTATCTCCATAACCAGGCTCAACAGCTTCCCTACAAAGAAGAAAACAAAAGAATAAGACTAGGTATCTCATAAGACTATTAAGAAACAACAAGGTAGGATGGAAAAGAGGGAACTTACAGATCAAACATAATGAAATCCAATACTTTCTTCAATTTCTCTGGAGCCACCTTAGCTAATGGGTCATAAGATTCCTTGGAGACAGTTTTACTGATACGCTTTACCTGTTAAACTCCCTACAAATGGCCAAATCTGAGTCTTTGTCAGTTGGGTTTTTCTTTTATGTGTAGGCACCTCAATACTTGAAGCTATTGCTTCTAACGCCTGTCTACAATTTGCACTTTTCTGCCATTGTAGATGATCCTCCCAACTCTCTGCGGAAATGGATTGGTCATTTACCTGTGGGATAGGAAATGGCTTTTCTATCTTCACTTGTATCCCTGGCACCGTCTTCTTATTCTTCTCTTTCTTGAAGACGCGTTGTATTGGTAATCCATCAACTGAACTTTTTTTTGTCTGAACCATCCATGACTGTTAAGTATAAAAAACTAGTTAGTATTTGTACATAAAAAACAGTAGATAACAATGTAAACATACCATTGTGTTGCTGCAAGCGTCTTCTTCATGTTCTTTAGATTTGCCGGTATTGGATGTAACTTTTTCATCATCCTTCCCATTAAGAACATTTATGTCTTCCTCTAGTATGGCCATCTTGTTCTTCAACTCAGTCTCAAATAAAGCCATTCTAGCATCCATCTGAGCTTGTACAGAAGCTTCCAATGTCTTAATAACCCTTTCAGCTACACTAACATCCATGGTTTCTACTCCTCCAGTCAAGTTGTTAACAGCCTCAAGCAACTTTTGTATGGGCATATCAATATGCGATTCTTCCTTCAAAACTCACAAACCAAAACAGCTTAGATACTAACAAAATGAAAATATTCAAGAACATGTAAGTACATACCATTTATGGAGCATTTTCTTTCTCCTTCTTTCGTTTTGTGGAGGGGCTCTCATCCACTCTATCGGGAACACTAGGTGCACTAACATGAATTCTTCTCTTGTGGCATTTGGTAAGTGGCACTACATCCCAAAACTTGTCGTTTAGCTGATCACTGAGGATGTCAACTATCATGTTATCTAAATCATCAGGCGGCTTTTCTTCTCCCCATTTCGGATATCTATCCTCCATTGCCTTTACAATCATATGGCTTACACGAATCTGCATTGTAAAGTATAACAATAATTAAGTACAAAAAATAAGACAGTGAATTACAAAGAAAATGATATACCTTCTGATATTTTTTCTTTTCTTGTGCACAGAAATTTGGAAATTTGATACGCTGACGAGAACCATGTCATGACAGAAGCGGAACCTCAGCTTCCTCTATTTGATGTCCATATATCTCTCCTAAACCTGGCACAAACTCGTATATCCAAATTAGCAATGCATGAACACAACCACGTAGTGTGTAACTCTTCTTTCCCTCGTTGAATTTCACCATTTTAATGGAATCCACAAGGCTGGTAAATGCTACACGACCCCATGGATAGCGCTCAAAAGCTGCTGGATCCATCACCCTTTTCGCCAAATGCAGAGGTATTATACTATTGCTTGCAATTACTAATATCCCAATAGATAGTAGACACAACAAGCCAACCATTACACGCTTCTCTCTAAGCCATTTTCTGATGATCGAAAAAAGGGCTTGAAGTTCATTCAACTTGGGTCCTTCAGAAATTGGAACTTTCATCTCCACCCAAAAATCTTCATGAGCCACATCCCACTGTTCTTGCATGTCAAAGGGATCACAATTTAACCATGTAATATCTGCAAACTCATACAGAGAGAATCTCAGTGGCTGGTCTTCTATCAAAGACCACATTTCATGACTGCTCTGAATCGCCAACTGGTTCACCAGAAAATAATGAACATGTTTGGCAGACCAAGTATAATCCAACTCCTTCAGCTTGAGAATCACGCCTACAGCTGAGTCTCTCAACTCAGGCCAAACGTCTTCGCCGATATTCTCTTGCATCGTTTGAATGTTTGCGAGAAAACAACTGTGGTTAATGCTCCTTTGTTGAATAGGCGTTTTACCAATCTGATAAAGCCGCGGAGGATACCTCATGTTACCCGAAGATGATGCCATTCCCTTAAAAAAAAAGCAAACACAAAGTTAATAAATATCATTCATCATATTATAACAGAGAAATTCGAGTTCAATATCACAAATGGAACAATAAAAAAAGCAAAAAAAGTGTCCTTTTCCTGTGATATTTAGAAACATAAATCGTGGAGTAACAAAGTGTGAGACTTCTTCGATTTCACATTATTAAGAGTTGGCTATTTAACTGCTAAAAAAAGACAAATCGAATTTCAATTTGGGAAAAGAAAAATTGAATTTCAATTTGAGAATTAGGGTTTTCAAATTGCAACTTCAAATCAAACTTTGTATGATAACAACAACTTCAAGTAACACAAAAAGAAATTAAAAAAAAAAACAGAACCAGTTTCTCATTTTGTCGGAAATGAAATTGGGAATTAGGATTTTCCAAATTTAACATGCGATCAAAGAAAATCAGTTAATTCGACATAAATGTTTCAACTCGAGAAGAATATATCTTCTTCTTCACCGTCGGGACAGAACGATGAGATTGAGGCGGCTGTGACTCACAACATCGGAGCTAGGGTTCGGAGTTCTAAGACTGATAGGGAAGACGCCGACGTAGGAGGAGGTTGGGAAATCTACGGCGGCTGCGAGTGAGAATTTTTTTCAGAGATGGAGGTTTGATGTGTGGAGAAGAAGATTTGAGATTGTGAAGAAGTAAAGTCCCAACATAGCCTTTTGTTTTTTTGAAGAATATTATGTAATTTCTTTAAATTAATCAATAACAATTTAGTTAATTCTAAGAGATAAACTGGTTTTCTGGTACTTTCGTTATCCACGTGATCTAGTAGAGTAATTAAGAAAGTTTATTAATTAGTATAGTAATTACATGTAAAATGTGCATTATTGTAGGTAATTTCTCTAAACATAATGTTACCAACATGATTTTAGGTAACAAAGTATTCATTGTCTCTTTATGAAACTACTAGCTATACGTTTATGAACTATGATGATCACCTTTTACTTTTTTAACAACCTTTATCACCTAACTAAATCTCAATAATAATAATTGCCTAACAAAGAAACTAAAAAATTAAATGCGAATTGCATTCATCGCTCGTCTGACGTGTCAACGTCTCATACCTCGGATCAAAAAACAAATCTTCTCGTAAATCCAACGATCACTAAACAAACCGTAGATTAACACCAGTACACGTGCACACACTATAACACACACACTCTTTCTCTCTCCTCTTCCTCCTTCAATGCCATTATTCATCACCCAAAATCAAAGATCTGCAAAAACTCCACGACGAACGAACGAACCATGACCGACGAATCACCACCGCCTCCAACCCCCGACCCGATCCCCAACCCGAATCCGAATCCACCAATCCACCCCCGACGCGTCTCCTTCGAACACGGACTCCTCCCGATCCAGAAACTCGTCTTCACCGACCCGATCCAAACCCTAGCTCCCGTCAAGCAGAAGCTAACCGACGCCGCCTCGAATAACCACCGCGTCGGATCGGCCGCAATCGCCGACGTTCTCCAGATCTCCGAAGACCATGCGCGTCTCGTCCTCGAGACTCTCGGTTCGGTGCTTCATTCCGAGTCTGATCCCTTGGTTAGGGCTAAACCGGAGGAGGTTGATTCCGTGGGAGCTGATTTGAGGGATCTGGTTTTGTTTCTGTATATTCAATCGTATAAGAAGCTGTTGCCTAGGACGCATAAGGACTCTGCGGCGGTGGCTGATGTGTGGCCTTCCACTTCGGCCTTTGATGGGTACTTGTCTGCGTTGTCGCCAATTCAGGTTAAGTTTCTTACTTTGTGTTGCCCTTTAATCATACAATGTGAAAGCTAGTCCTATTATTTGTTTCGTGGTGGTTTTAGTAAGAGAATCATTTTCGTTTCATTTTGCATTGAATTCATTTATTATGAAACTTAGGAGTTATGCAAAGTTGGAAGCTTGGGTGGTTCTTGAATTTGGTGTCATGATAATGGATGTAATGTTTAGGAAGATGTTTGTAATAATCTTCAATGGGGAAGATGTTTGCATTGTAAATAGATATGTTCTTATTGTTTCAAATACATGTTAGTTACACCATTGTATTCGAAGCCACATCAAAGTAAGCATGGTAATGTTAGTGTTTCTGTAGTATGAAATAGCTCTTATTGTTTGAAAGACACCCTCATGGACTCATGATTTTTTGTAATATTTACTTGTACATTTGGGTAACTTAATTGTTATTATCATCTGTTAAATGGGAGGCCCCTTTTCTTTGATGACTCTAGTGCATTGTTTAGTTTGCAGGCTGAGATCAAACAGTGTCAGCTTGCTCTGTTATGTAGTTTCTGTTCTGTTTCTTTTTTTTTTGTTGTACCTTATTATGGTTGGTCCCATCCAAGTAGTTTATTTGGTGATGCTCTGACATGGTTCTCGTATATGGTTTCCAGTATCCGCTTCTGTGTAGTTCTCACTCTTGTTTGTGTAGGGCTGGTATATTCTGTCTTTTGGTCATCTAGTTTTAGTCTTGTCAGTGTTTAATCATTGACTCATTGCTTGTGATCCCGTAAAGTGGGTCTAAAGTCTTAGTTATATTCCTTTTTCATCCTTTGCAGCTTGTTCGCAGCAACAGCCGTAGGTTTATGCCGTCGCAAGCAGATGATGAAGCTCATCAGCTGTCATATCTGCAAAAACATTTAGCAAACATCGTTTCGCTCCTTGCAGAGCCTGTGGAAGGAGAAGGAGAAGAATCATTGGTATGTGCTAGTCTTCCAATATTTTTTTCGAGAATAATGTTTTGTACAAGAGTATGAAAGTAACACCTGACGTTGGGATTCTTGGGAAAATGATTTTTGAGGAAATGAGAGAGAACACAAGTCCTTAGCTAGATTTTTTTTTTTCTTTACATGATGGTACAAACTATTAATTGTTTTGCTTGGTTAACATCCTTCAGGTTCTCTCTATGGAGGCTTTTGAGCACCTGGGTTTTCTTGTTCAATTTGGTGATAAGGGATCTGATGTATCTCCACTGAGCCAAGCTACTCCGTTTTTTGCAAATTCCGATCCGGATATGCCCGCTGTTCCAGTTCCTGCTTCCCAAGTGCATGACTGGCTTCTGCAAAACATAGCTTCCGCTTTAGAAAGCATTACTGAGAGAATTTCGGGGAAAGAGAATGCACCTTCTGATGATGATGCGATGTCAGATGCTTGTGTTGCTCCGAACAAGGTTGCACCTAGTGGTAGAGGCCCGTGTTTAATTGAAGGAGTCTCCAAGACTTCACTTGTTAAGCAGGCCTCAGATCTAAGGGGTCGATCTGTGAAGGTTCGCTATGAACAAATGACTTGCGCTGTAAGATACTAGATTATGATCTGTGTACTTAAATGATCTGTGTATTCTGCAGGTTGTCAATTGCCATGATTCTGTTATTTATCTTTTAGCGCCATTGAGGTATGCAACTGTGCATGGATGTTCTGATACAACGATTGTTCTGGGAGCTGTTGGCAAGGTACGGACACAATACTCCTTTCCTCTTTATCTTTATCTAAATTGTTTACGGCAACATTTAAAAGGTTATAATATCTGCAGACGTTTACTAAAAGATGCAGTAAATCAACCTCTTACTTTCTTCTCGCAGGCATTAAGAGTTGAGCACTGTGAGAGAGTTCATGTAATCGCTGCTTCCAAACGAGTGTGCATCGCCAATTGCCGTGAATGTGTATTCTTCTTGGGAGTCAATCAGCGACCACTAATTGTTGGTGATAACCACAAACTGCAGGTGAAGCCTCTCTCTCTATAAGATTCAGGGTTAATTTACAAATTTTATAGCATGCACTATACAATACATACACAACTACATTTATGCTCTAAATCTAACATCAGTAAAAGAGGATAGACCTTCTAGTAGCTTAGTTTTGGTTACTACGTTCTTCGTGACATGTGAACTGAGTTTAATGGAACATCTTCGAGGTGTTATCCATCTTACTAATTTATGCGGTCGATGATTATATTGGTTAAGAAATATCTCCTCAGTCTGATATTTGCTCTATTGGGTGTTTCAGGCTTCCGTTTAACACTGTCTGAAATGTAGTGGTTATAGTAGTTACAGGCGTCTAAAAATCTGTTTCATTTTGTTCCAGGTCGCTCCATATAATACATATTATTCTCATTTGGAGGAGCACATGAGTGAGGTAGGTGTTGAGCCAACTATCAACAAATGGGACAAACCATTGGCACTGGGAGCAGTGGATCCACATGACTCACTATCACATCCTGCTGGTGTTGCTGATGCACAGGCCGAATCAGCTGCTTGTGTTGATCCTGACCAGTTCATTAACTTTTTGGTACACTCTTTTTTTCTCAGTAGACTCTGTTAACAGTTGAATGCTATTCACGAAGCATCTAGTCACATGTTTACCTGTGGTATCAATGTCTATGGTGAAGATCCCAAACTGGTTTAGCGGCGAGGAGATTGGTTCCACAAAAGACAATCCATTTCCATTGCCAGATGCTTATATGGCAGCTCAGCAGAGAAACGTATGTTTTTACGTTTTGTTTTAGTAAGAATGAAGCACTTGTTTACACCTCCTTAACTCCTCTGTTTTTTTATATTTCTTCAGCTTAAGAACTTAGAAGAAACAAGACAATCGCTAAGAGAAACGCCTCTGGAAGAAAACCGGAAAAAGGAACTATCAAGCGCACTCCATGTGTATTTCAAAGACTGGCTCTACGGTAAGAACTTTCGAAATCAATCCCTACTCAAATTGAATGTGCATCAAATGCTATTAGTTTCTGATTGTCTCTATGTTTCTCCTGTGAACTTGACAGCAAGTGGGAATATAAGGCAACTCTACTGCCTACAAGGTGACTATTAATGAACCCGAGTGGAAGATGTCTCGTTCTTGTAGAGCTCTATGGATCATTTTGGCATATTGCTAGTGAAGAAAAATGAGAAACCGTTCTGATTTGTAGTTTGGAACCTATACGCATCACGTAACTTATCTGCACAGAACACTCTCTTAAAGCTTTTCCTTTAGATTATTATTTTCTTTGTTTCTGCTTTGTTCTTGTTTAAAATCTCTGTTCCCTTTTGACATTTCAATCCCTCGTTTTTTGTCCTCTCGTTTTCGGGACAGAGCATCATGGCTTCCTTGAACTGTTATAACATATAAACCAAAACTTTTTTGGATGTTGTCTTGGGAGAAACCTGTCAAAGCACCTTTGATTGTTTTCAAAGGATCCGTGATTTCTTGTGCTGTAAAGCTTAACCCCATTCAACAAGATGAGTGTGCGATGAAATGTGCCTAAACAACGACAATAAGTGAAAGAAGAGTGGAGATTTGTGGAACTTACCTTGGGGAACTCGATGAAGCGAGAGATGCAGACAGTGAGACAGCCTCTGTTTCTGATGTTCAGTGACAGTGACAGACAATAGCGCCAGAGAAAGCCCACGTTAGTTCCATATCATTCTTATTGGGCCGCATCAAAAAGCCCATTCATAAACACTCTTCTCTCTCTTTGTGTGTCCCGTCCTCTCTGTCAAGAAGCTCCGTCGGCAATGGCAGATTCGACGAGAAACCTGACTGGGCTCGGAGGCCAAGCATCGAATCACGAAGAAGAAGAGGAAAACGATGATTACATGGGAGACCTATCTCAGTTCCTTCCACCTGAACTTATCCAGACTTCCAAATCCAAAAGAAAGGTACTTTCAAAGTCTCCAACTTTACCCTAGTTGAAGATGTGTGATTCCAATTTTACTTGAAAGTTTTCAACTTAGCATCCCCTCTCAAAGTTTTCAACTTTATCATCTAACTGCTTTTTGCAGGAATCTGAAAAGAAAACTGTAGCCGTTGAACCATCTCGAAAGAAGCTAAAGAATCTCCCTTGGCATGAGCGGCGAAGACTGGAGAAAGAGAGGAAGCAAATAGAAGAGGATGCACAGACATTGGCTCGTATAGAAGACACTCCCATTGGAGAGTCCAACGTAGGGTTTAAGATGTTGAAGCAAATGGGTTACAAGCCAGGCTCTGCTCTCGGCAAAGAAGGGTCAGGTAGAGCTGAGCCGGTGACCATGGATATCAGAAGATCGAGGGCTGGTGTGGGAAGAGAGGATCCACACAAGGAGAAGAAGAAGAGAGTAGAGGTTGTGGCGGAGAATGAGAAGAGAAAAGTTGAGGAAATGTTGGAGGATTTTGGGGATAGGCAGAAGTCTCAGTGGCGTAATAAGAGGGTTTTGATTAACTTTAGGAAGGCTAAGGCGGCTCTTGATCAGCTTGAGAATGTTGAAGTTGTTCCGGAGAAGAAAAATGAGGAAGATGAAGATGGTAAAGTTGGTGAAGAAGAGGAAGAAGAGGAGGAGGTGATCACTGAAGAGGTATGTACTCTAGAGTACAAGCATTAACATTGTTCTTTATGTTCTTTGGGGGTGACAGTTTTAGTTTTACTGGTTGCAGGATTTGCAGGAGATATTAATGAAGCTGAGGGATGAACATCGGTATTGCCCTTTTTGCGGGTTTCAGGTAACTGGATGCTTTCATAAGCCTTCTCTCATCAGTGCTTAGTTTTCGAGTTCGTTTAGGTACTGACAAAGTTTTCTCCATATGTGAATCAGTATGAAACGAGTGAAGCTCTTCTTTCCAATTGCCCTGGCGTTAATGAGGATGATCACTAGATAAAGTCACAGTGCATAAGCTTTAAATCAGGTTGAAAATTCACTCGGTATGTGGCTGGAGATGGAAGCAAGAATCAGAAGAAAGACACTGTTTGCAGTTGCATAAGCAGGTAGGTTAAGGGATACACTCTAGAAAAACTCTAAGGGATTGCTAATCGCCATACTACTCATTCTTTCGTTGATAGAGTAGGGTGATCAAAAAAGGATGTGTAACTCTGATTTGATTAACAGTATATGTTAATGATGATGTTGATGTTTTAATCTGATTCTTGAACTAAATAAACGTGCGGTTCTGTTAGATGTGAGAAAAACATATGGATCATCACTAAAAGACAAATAGCTTAAAGAACAAGAGCCCAAAAGCATTAAACTAATACCCAAAACAAAGCGCATTTTCTGCCATCATTGTCTGATTTTAAGTAGCATAGAAACAGATAAGTCTTAGTAGCAATCTTCCACATGTAAGGCTCTTGCTTAAGAAAAAAGTGTTTAGAGGGTGAAAGAGAAAAAGACTCAGAGAGACCAGTTGAAATATTGAGGGGAAGTGTCATAAGCTCTTGTGTTCTCAGGTTCCATGTATTGCCTCAGAACCTGCTGATGAAGAGACAACTCGAATCCACCACCCATTGTAGTGCCTATCTGAAAGTCAACTGGCTCAGAGATTTGACTCTGTCCCAAAACAGGAGATATACATTGTGCATTGCTTTTTTCGCCTGACATGAACTCCCAAGTTTGGTTTAAGTACTGATTCTGCATTGAAACAGGCGGTGGCTGAGCCATTGTAACCCTATCAGCAACAGTCGAGTCAAAATCTAAAGATGGTCGCCATATAGTGTTTGATGTCTGAAGTGGTTGTTGTTCCTGCTGGTTTGGGTTTGAGTTTGACAGAAGAGAGAGAGCACAGCTTGAGTCTGTGCTATTATTGTTCATCATCTCTGGGCATGTGGTAAAGCTTGAGCTCCCAAATGAGATAACATTCATCAGCTGATGCCTATCACTTTCCTGGTTAATCTTCCACGGTGCAGACCCTCTTGCGGTTGACCAGGTAGTAGGATCTCCCAAAACGCTTCTAATGGCATTCCCTGTCACCAAGAAAAGAATAAAGAACTTGTTTTCAAGATACATTGAGCTGAAAAGAGTAACTTAAGTTATAGAAACCTAACCATATAGAGATGAGTAACGAGAAGTCAAGAGAGTGGTTGTTGCTTGAGGCTTTCTTCTTCGTTCGTTATGGCAAGCGAGCCGTCTTCTACAACTTCGTTTCTCCAAGTCAAACTCAGAAAGCTGATGAAACCTGAATGATGCAATGATAAAAGAAGCTTCAACAAAAAGCAACATAATAATTCATAACTATTATCTTCAGATACAAGAAGAGACAAAATCACATAATAACTAGCTGTAAAGTTATATTCATAAGACTCTTCAAAGACATTAAGAGCCAAAGCTCACAAAGGAGACAAGACCAGTAAAAGTAAGATTTGGTTCCCTTATGACTATTCCGATCACAGGAAGAGGCAAATTAGTAAATAAAAGAAGAAAAGAAAGAAGCAAAACCTGCTACATTGCTGGCAAAACCTTTGATGAAGACCAGAGACAATGACTTTAGATGATTTAGAGTGAACACAACAAACTTTGTGTCTTGAGTAATAAGTTTTAGCATTGCTTAGATCCGTTCTACAACCTTCCACTTGGCACCTAGCTGTCATCGACTTACGACCAGTACTACTAACACGGTTCTTGCTTAACCCTGCTCCGGATCCATCCTCAAAGTAGATCTTCTGACCAAACCTGAGTCCACCACTTAGTGTAGACGAGGAACCAGCTGACTCGGGCTTCTTCTGACCAGAACCCATTTCTAACTCCATGGTGTCGTGGTTTAATGGGTTTTGGTTTCCTCTTACTAAGACAGAGAAAGAGATGCTTTTGCTCTCTCTCTCTCTTCTATGTATGAGCTGAGCCTGGAAATAGAAAGGACAAAGGAGAAGAAAGGAAAGAAAATGTGGTTCTGATGGTTTCAGTTGTTGCTATCTTTTAAAAAGATTAGAAGAGAGAGAGAGAAGCTGACAAAAGAAGAGGCACTCAAGTGATTGATACAAGGCCACGACAGCTATGGAGTTTAGCGTTTGCGTTTTGAGAAAGTTGGTGCGTTTTGGTGGTTTTTTAACACACACAAAAGAGATGGATGAGAATATATCTTTATTCTTCTTTAACGTACATAATGATATCCTTAAATGAGACCAGGGAACATAACTCTCATGTAAAATCTAAGCTACTAGGTTTTTTTTGAATCTAGCCTAATGATGTTAAAAGTGTTGACCTGTATTGTGTAGTTTCTAAATACGAACTGATCACATACCTATAAATAGATGCTTAGATTGTATTTTGTTGCATCCCCAAATATAATAGTTAACTATACTATTACTAATTAAAGAGCATAATAATAGTTTACTAGTAGCATCTAATACTAAAGTAGAAAGAATACAGAGTTCAGAAAGACAGAGAGTGTTGGAACTCAACTAAGGATGTGACTCTTCGAATGGAACTAGTAGGTTCTTGAACACTTCTGCTTTTCTCTAAATATATTTCAAAGGGAACTAGTTGGTTCCTGAGCACTTTCGGACTATCACTTCTGCTTTTTTATTTCTAAATATAGTTGTTGTTCTTCTTTATTTTTTATCTTTCTGAAATTTAGATTTGGTGTTCCTTTTCACAATATCCAATGCAATATCTTTCTTGATAATTCAACCAGAAACTATTCTTTTCAAAAGAGAGTATGAGAAGCTATTCATGGTGTCATGTATCCATCAGAATCTGTGTACTTGAACTTTCATTGGTTTGTGTGTATCACTTTCTTGATTATATTCCTTTTGTGTGTGTTTTGCTTTATCTAGTACACAATCTAGTTCCTTTCTTTTGATTTGCATAATGATAATAAAAACCTGAAAAGGCCTAAAGCCTCTAATCACGCTAGACCAGTTTCACAAATATTCTTTATCTCATTTCTCTTGTTCTGCTGCATTCTCTGAAACTTTGTTTATTGTGTTTTCCCCCCCCCCCCATTATAAAAGCCATAAAAGTTGCATTATCAGACCATCTCCAATGGGGTTCTATCCCATTGGAGTTCTAAAATCAAATATGTGTGTATGTATATATTATATATATGTATGTAATTGTAGGGTCCATTAAATAGTGTAGAACCTTATTCAAAAGCTCTAACATGGCCATTAAAGAGGTATTTTAAGAGATGAGAGTTTCAAAACCCCATGACAATTCAAACAAAGGGTTCTGAATAATCAAAAATTATGATTCCATGTATGAAATCAAAACGCAACCGTATCAAACTCAGGTCCTAACAACAAGAGTGATTCAACAAAAGAAAAAAAAAGCGGTTTCAAAAGCGTTTTTAAGAACCTCTGTTTCAAATCCCATGACATTCAACAACAGCTTCGGCAGCTCGTCTTGGTTTGTTCTTCCTTCTGCTCCCAATGTGTCTAAACCCTATAGACAATGATGACTTCAGTGAATCATCTGTGCTTGATTTTGAACCTAACCCATTCTCCTCTTCACTCATATTGCTCTCTTTAGACTCTACAGCTTTCTTCCTCTTCCTCCCATTCTCTGTCACATCTTCTTTATTTGTGACTGAACCATTTGTGTTATCATCCTTCTCCACAATCTCTTTGTCTCCTTGGGTTTCATCTTTAACCTCCTTCTGTGGCCTCCCTCTTCTCTTGTAAGCTGGAATCTTTTCTTCTTCATCACCGCTTCCAAGATCTTCTCTAGCAGTAGCATTCTGCCTCTTGCCTTTCCCTCTACCTCTTCTCATAACTCTTAATTCAGTTCTCTACCAAACCAAACAGCCTCAAGCAGCTTGACAAAGCAAAGGTTGTTTCTTTTCAATCCATCCTAACAGTTTGCAGTATCCAAACACTGAAAAGAGAACAACAACAAAAGACAGTGAATGCAAGTTAAACTCAAAAAACATACCTAAATTTGTCTGAAGAAGCTAAGTAGAATACTGAAAGGGCATTGAAAAACTTATTTGACAATACCTAACTACAATTTTCTTTCCATAGAAATCTTTTTTTTTTAACAAAGAAAAAGTACAAACCGCACTTCAGTAGGTCACTAGACATTGAACAATCTGATCTTTTCAATTCCTATAACCCCAAACTAAGCTACAGGCAAGCTTTGTTTATGGAAACTACTTGCATGAACAGTTCCAAGAGAAAGAAAAAAGCTCTATTTTTCTTTTCAATCTCTACAAACTTCAGGCAGTCAACACATGATTCACTACTGTTAACAACAAACATAGAGAGACATAGACTCTCACCTGTGAACCCATTTCTTAGAATAAGACAAACCCCCAATAAAACCTATAAAGGGTTTACCTTTTCTAAGTTCACTTAGTTTTCAACTGATCTAACTGTAACCAAACAACAGAGAGAAGAAAACCCAGATCAGAAGAAAAGACTGAGACTCTAAAGATATCGAATCAGAATCCAAAGGGTGAGACTTTAACAAGAAAGAGATCTAAGAGAAGAGAGAAGCAATGAAAACAAAACAGAGAGAACAGAACAACAACAAAAAAAAATGTTGGGTTTTGAAAGTGTCGTTGAAATAGAAAAAAGATGATTGCTTTCGTCTCACTTCCACCACTTTCACTGACTCAAATGGATCTAAAGCCCGTTGAAGATGGATACGGACAACTACCACGCGCTACATTAGGCGCGTGCTTTTCACATTCTACTCGTTTTGGTTAAAGACGACAGCTAATAGCCGCGTGAACCGCGTCGTCCAAAGATTTGAATCAGATATTTTCTCTAATGGGCCATCTTATTAGACCCAATTAGACTCTCGTATCCTTTTTTTTTTTAAACACAATTTATATCATGAAAGGCTTAATGAGCATCTAATCTATTAAAAGGGAAGTACATTTAGTACTTACCCCTGAGTTTTCCACAAAAATTACAAGGACATGCCACTGAATTAAAATACTGTTATTTAATACATTTAATAACAGATAATTTCGGTGGCAAAATCTAAACTATACAATTTTGTTTCTTAGCCCATTTTTGTTTCATTTTTATTTCAAATCCATAAAGATTTATATGTAGCCTAATATATTCTGGAAATAGAAAATTTATCACTATAAAAATTTCAAAATCTCAAATCCTCAACGTTTGTTTCCAAACAAAATATCAAGCTAAAAATTATATTTTTATATATGTAGATGATTCTCAGCCAGAAACGTGGAGACTTGGATGAGTTTAACCTCGCTACATTTAATAATTTTAATATAAAATTGAAACTAATAATACTCTTTTCCTTCCAAACTCAAAACTATTAATAAACCATTCCTACTTCTAATGACAGTTAACTGCAAAATATTATAACTATATAATTTTTTTTAAAAACAAAACAAGAATATGATTTTTCTTCCTATTTCTATGCAGTGACCATATCATTAAAAGATATCAATTAACTAACAAAATCATTATATTATGTTTTTAAAACTTGCAAAACACATATTCCTTATCTCTAAAAACCATAATATTAAAAAACCATTTAAATACAATAACTACTTCCTAATCGTGATATTCTCTTCCTTCCTCTTGCTCTACAAAATCAAAGAGTCAATAGAGACATTCCTACATGTCTTTTCATAATTGTACTAAACCAATTCAATATCTCAAACTGGGCCTGCTAAATAAAATTTTCAGAAATCTAAATAATTAAAACTAGAATACAAATAGGAAATACTGCTTATTTTTCCTCAAAAATTACATATTCATGCTATTAATCTTAATCCATATATGGGTTTGGCAATTCAAATAAAACTAAAACCGAATCTATACATATTGTGATGAAATAAAATTTGAACATTGTAATTAAGTTGTGGTTCGTTTTAATTATAAGTTCATAACCAAATAATCTAAACTATTAACTTCAATTAAATTTCTTCTCAATTTTATTATTTTCTTGAACTTGGTTTCATTATTGTTTCTGTTTTTCTAAATAATATATTTGTTTTTAAAATTCTCAAAAAAAAAAAAATTGAACTTTATATATAAAAACTTTCACATTTTAGTGTTTACTTTGCCAAATAAGCTAAAAGAAAACCACAATCTCATAGTTTATAAGCGAAGACTAATTATATTGAACAAGACACATCAATGTCAATTCTAAATAACATATGAATCTATAATATAGAAAACATAGACGATTAAATTTATCACCTTTTCAAAAATTAAAAACAAATGATTTTGAACAACTTACACCCGTGCGGGCGCACGGGTCAAAAACTAGTCAATGTTTACAACTGAAGCAGAAGACTCCGGAGGCAGGCTCGACGGTAAAACAAAGCTAGAAAACATTACGAAATAAATGAAGATAAAACCATCTTGGGGCGAGTCATGCTCAGCGAAATGAAGAAACCCAAAAGGAAGCTCCACTTTTGTTCCCATGGCGATTGTTCGAAAGAACAATTGATAGTCGAAAACGACGTTGATACACCTATAAGAAACCATTGGAATGTTGACTGGCAAGAACTTTAGGTGAGAAGCTCCAGAACCGTAGGCAACATTGAAAGTACGAAGTCCTATTTGACTTGATGTAACACTTAAATTAGCACAATCAGCTTTAAACCCAACAAGACTTACCGAAGAGACTAGGTGAATCTCGAGCTCTAGCTTTGCTTCCAAGGAAGCGCTTAAGATAAAGTTTGATGACATAGCTGAGGGTTGAATTAGGTTCAAACTTCGGAACTCAACATTACCGTATTGAGTCCAAGAATTTGTGACCAGAAACCTAAGCATATTGTCATCGCACTCGTTCGAACAAAACGTATGTGAGCAAACATCGGATAAGAGGTAAAAAGCTTCGGATTGGTTGGATCTACGAGCCCCCACTCCGATTTGAATGTCGCGTAGTTGACTTTGTGAAGAACCGTCAATGTTTGAGACGGCATATTGTGATGGAAACGTAACAGTGATATAGCTTGTAAATCTGGCGAGACTCTCGTATCCAAAGAGGCAACTTACGTGTATTACAACAACTTACTTATGTACAACTATAATTTAAAATTTAAAATTTAAAATTCGTGAGGTATCATGACTTAGGTCAAGTCAATTATTTTCTTCATAATATGCAAGTGTCATAAAGACCTGGTCCACAGTTTTATGTTGTCTCCGTGCAATTTCTTGATGTAGTATGCAGTTTCTTTAAAGTATCCAGTCTAGCTCTTGGTTCTGTGTTTTTGTTTTTTTCTTCTTGGTGACAGCTAAAAGAGAACTTCATTGGCATATTTCACTTTGTGAATATGGTGTGGACGGATTTTGTATTTCCGGTTGTCTCCTGTTTGGAGCAAATTCTATTCCCAATATTTCTTCCTCTATGGAGTAAATTGGAAGCTCAATCATTGTTGGTATTGTAAGGATCTTTCTCCCAATTAATGCCCCTCTCTGCTTTTGGTGCAGTGATTGTGATCTTGTGGATTACACTAGATGCAACTTTTCAAGAAGCTTATGAAACTGAGCAATTTTTATGGTTTCTTTGTGAGTTTTATCAATTCTATCTCCTGTTTATCAGTTTCTTTTGGTTGTTGGCCTGCTATGGCTTTGTTGTATCCTCCTCTAATGAAGCTTAAACTCTTCTAAGAGGTTGATTGGTAGAGCATTAGCATAAGCATTATGTTCTCTATTATCCAATCAACATTTGGCAAAGAAGCATTTAGAAAAGTATTTACCAAATGCAAATGCTCTTCAAATGCTCTTTGCTCAATGCTCTCATATAGAGCTTTTGGGAGAGCATTTGCATATAGAAAATATAAAACTTAACAATATTTATATATAATTAATTTATTTTTGTTTAAAAATATAAACAATATTTTTATAATTAAATATAAATTTATATTTTTAAAAATAAAAATAAAAATTATAATTTTTTTTAAAGAACAATATTTCACATTTAAAATATAATATAATTACATATATCATTCATTATTTTTAATAACAAACATAACATAATATAAATTATATATTATCGATATAAACATATTATTTAGACACTAATAAATAAATTATATATTAACTTTTATGATAATTTTATATATGAGTAATTTAATGCTCTATCAATAAATAAATAATAATAATTTATATATAAATTATAAGTAATTTATATATAAAATATAATTAATTAATTAATTTAATAATAATTAATTAATTTAATAATAATTATAATTTAATAATAATTAATTAAATTATAACTATAATTTATATATGATTAATGTGTTATATCCAAAAAAAAATTAATATTTGTAAAAAAATTTAAAAATTTAAATATAATTATATAATGAAATTCATTATTTTAATAAATTATATATTATTAATATATATTATATATATATTATTTTAAAATAATATATTATTTTACTAATGCTCTGCCAATCACTTTATTAAAAACTTTAATGAAACCATACAGCTTCTGTAGCGTACAGCTTCTATAGCGTACTGCTTCTGTAGCATACTGCTATTGCTTTATCATCTGCTGTACCAATCAAGACCTAAGTTAAATGCAAGTTGGTTTGATCAAAAAAAAAAAAAAAAAAAGGCGCTTATCGTTTTCATCTCTAGAGTTTAGTTGACCATCAATTTTAGTTCATGTGGATTCTTTTACGTATGGTAAATTATGCATTTTACAAAACTAATGATTAGCTATCTTCCTTCATTTAACTTTTGATGCAAAAAGATTATAAAAATGCAATACACCAAAAATCTACCAATCAAACTTAATGCATAATTTTAGTTAAATTTAGTTAATTCCAATATTTATTTTCTCACATTTATCTTGTTTGTTGACCAAAAGATAACTACAGTATCTTGAAAATAGTGACTTATTTAAATAAGATAAACCGTAAAAGTTAGTTACAAAAACCCTAAATTCTTCCACAAAATCTTCACACTGCAACACATTCTTGCTCCAGAGATTGTTCGAAGGTTCCTCTGCTCTAGCGATTGCTTAATGGCGGATCATAAAGATCAACACTCAGGTACGTCTCTTCTCAATCTCCAGAACTTAGAAATCTCTATAGGATAATCTAGGTTTCCGTATTACTCTGCTTTTCTCTCTCTCTCTCTCTCTCTCTCTCTCTCTCTCTGACATTGATGGAAACGACTGATCTTGGCTCTGATATTCTTCGTGATGCAGAAGCAGAAGATCCAAATTCAGAGCCTAAGGATCACGGTGATGATGATAAATTCAAGAAAAAGAAACTTGAAGATCTCAAAAGAAAAGCCTTTTACTCTGTTCTCCTTGCTATCAGAGCTGAACCATTAATAATAGGAAACGTAAGAATCAAGCTTCTTCTCATTTCTCTGTTTTTTTTTTTTTTTCATTCGGTTCCTAAGCGTTTGTGCTCGTGTTTTGTCTCCTGTTCTGCAGAAGAGGACTCCTCTCATAGAGAAACTGATGAAAGAGTTGAACATTTCTCAAGAAACTCGCATCTCTTTTGAGAAGAACATTCAAGAAAATCTTATTGCCTATTACCAAAGGTATCTCCTTTGATCCAAAAGGATTTGACTTTCGATGATTTGACCTCTCCTTTCTTTATTTCCTCAGGGTTATTTCAGAGTTGAAGGAAGCAGAAGCAAAGCCATTGACCATACCTGTAAGGAAGCCACCTCTGGTTCCTACTTATGTTGCTGCACCTAGGTCAAGCTGGGGCAGAGTTAACCCCGAGGCTCTAGTTGGAAGACGGGTCAGTGTCAGAATGTGTTGTGAAGATGAGTTCGAAGAGTTTGTGATCAAAGAGTATAACGCAAAAGATGTAATAATTAAACCCTTTTTATGTTTCTCTCTTTATGTCTTTGGTCCATATGGCTTGAGCTAGTTCTAAGAAATTTACTTGTCCAGGAAACGCATCACCTGGAGAGCGTAGACCCGGATGCAATGGAGATGGATGAATTGTTAAGTTGGATAGATGTCAGAGAAGTAAAACACAAAACTGTTATCATCTCCTTTAATAAAGTCAAACTCTAAGTTGTAATATTTGATCTTGAGCTCTGATTAATTGCAGGTTCCTACTGATGATATTGTATGGAGAGATGGAGAAGCGCCACACTTTTAAACTCATAGTGGATTGGGTGCAGGGAATGAAGAGGGAACCTTTTAGACTTTGTTACAGTTATATCACCCAATAAAAGTCAATATGCACTTGTTTGATTGACATCTTTAGACTTTTGTTACAGTTACTAAGAACAGAGTTTTTTGGGGTATTTTTGGCTGGATTTAGAGAAGAAACGGGCCAGTGTTCAACGTTGATTCCAGTAACTTGTTTTGTAAAATAGTTGTCTTTACTTGCCTTGTAAGCAACTGTTTTTTTAGGAATCTACTTGACTCTACAGAAGTTAGGATTGGTTGAAATAGCTCAGAACCTTCCCTCTTTTTCAGAGGGTTTTGTTCTGGCCAGCAGATGGCTTTTCCTGCATCAGTTTTTTATTCTTGCTTGTTACTTCTCCTCGGTTCAGCTCTTCTCTTTCCATTACAGGAATCAGCGTTCACTGTCTCTAGTGCAGTTTCAGACGAAGAAGCTCTTTCCATTCTCCTAAGAAAACTTGCAGCATTCTCCTTTTTTGAGCCCACCATTTGTGTTGTTACTCGTTACCCTTCTTTTCCTGATCCCTTTCCTTCTGCTCAAAACTCTCGTTTGAAGACTGGCAATTACTAGGGAGACCATTAGGAAGACCATCATTGGGTCATTTTCATGATCCAAATGCAATATTGCATCCTCAAATAATCTAAAGGATATTAATGTGTGTTTTTCATCTTACATCAGCTCCAAAACTATCATTAGTCTTTTGAAGAATATATTATTTCTGAAGAAGATATTCATTTTGTTTACAATTCTAGCCAGAAATTTGTTTTGTCTACATAGACACTTTCTTAGCCAATAACATGCTCATCATATCTTCTCAATTCTCACTTATTCTGTTCATTCACAACTTAAAAGGGTTTCTTTAAATGAGTTTAAGTCATTTGATAACTTATGATTTAAGAAATGGATCTTTAAAAACAGAACACTCCAATAATTTATCATCAAATCTGCTTATGATAAAGTACATAGTGGAAGTAGAAAAAAACTTTGATTTGAGTCAAATGATCACATATTAGAAGTATAAAATTAAGGGAAAACAATTTAAACAAGAGAGATATCACAAAGCGGAAGTAAAAAAGCCTTTGATTATATGGCATACTTTTGTTTTTGAGCCTCACCATTTGTTTTAATAGTGTACTAGATTTCGACCAGCACAACCATTTAATAGTGTGCAGATATATATTTTTATGTATAAATATTTGTTTTACGGGTCAAAATATATGCTTTTAAAGTTACTCCCATATTTAAATGTTTATATAATTATTTGAAATACAATAATTTTATAGTTTTTATGTTGTAAATTTAAATCATCACATATATATGTTTCTTCTTATTATGGATTTTTCTTATTGAATTTGCGTTTGATTATTAAACCAATTTCTTATGTATGAATTAAAAAAATATTTGAAAAATATTTTATTTATAATTTATTATGATCGTAACCCGTAATTCAAAACGCTAGATTAGTGATTTTTTATATTTATTCATTTTATATCATAAATTACTCTATATAAAAAGTTTCGATAAATTATATGAATGTTAACTGTTCTACGAACATATTATATTTTTAAAATAAATATTTTATATTTATTAACATATATATTAACTTATCAATTTCAAAAAAACTTTATCATATTTAGTTCAATATAATGGTTTTCTTTTAAAAATGATAGAAATTATTAAAAAAATAGATAAAACAGGATATAATTTTATTCTTTTCATTTTATAAAATATAGCTATGTATATTGATGAATAAAAACATTTCATGACTAATTATGAAATTAGTGAAAATATTTATGTTCAATTTTTGACAATGAAGATCTTGTTATAATCTTATTCAACAGATTTGCTAGAATATATATACATATATATATATATATTAAATTAAAAATATCAAAAGATATTATGATTAAAGTAGTTAAAATATTTTATATTATTAGCATTAAGGATATACATTTAATAAAAAATTAAATGATGTTATAAATAAAAATATCACACATAAAAGAAATCATGAATTTTATTTAATAGAATAGATTTGAATCAATTAAAATAAAATAAATATTTATTTGTAACAAATCTTTTAAAATTATTAGTAAAATGTCTTTTGAAATTAATCAATTTAATTTTTATTATGAGTGAATATGATAAAAATTTGTAATTGTTAATATTCGTTTATAAACCAAAACTAAATTCAATTTTAATTTCTAATTATATTTTATAATAATTTTAAGTAAAATTAACTAATTTTTGAAAGTCAATTTAAAAAGATTCTAAAGAGATTTTTAGAATATTTTGTTAGAACATTTTAAATATATTCATTTATATTTCAAATAAAATGACGGGCCTCTAAAGATACAAAGATATTAAAAGATATAATAATGAACTTATGTAAAATTTCATATTTTCTAGGAATATGTCCAAATTTAAAAAAATCACACATGAAGTGAAGTCATGACTTCTGTTTTAATATATAACTAGTTTTTGACCCGCGCGTCCGCGCGGATTTATGTTCTGTATAAATATATATATTTATATTAGTTGTAAAAATCATTCATATTTATGTAGGTTATTAAGTTATGATGTCGGTGTATCTTGTTCATTTTGTTTAGCGTCTTTTTTGTAACTATCAAGTTGTAATAATTTTTTGATATATATTTTTTTTACTTGGTAAACTAAACAATTAAGTATAAAATATTAGAGTATCTTGTTAAGATTGTTTGTATTTTATTAAATTATATTATAAATTTTGTGATTGCAATTATATTTTAAAATTATTTTTTTTTATTTTTATTTTTTAAAATAAATTATTTAGAAAGCAAAAAAATATACAAAAATAAGAGCTTTAGCAATTTTATTAACAAATGTCATTCTTAAAATTGAATTGGGTTGTTTGGTTTTGGGCAATTTTGTTTTCATTTAAAGTTATTGGACTTTAAACCTATATTGAAGTCCATGTAAGAGCAAAACTACAGTATTTTATTTGCAGTGGCACTCTATTTTAATTTTTGAGGAAACCTAAGGGTTATTTCTATTTTGTACTTCCCCTTTAATAGTTTAGATATATGCATACATATTTTCAGCTTAACCTAAATGTTTTCATTGACTTCCTTCTTTTACACAGTTTGGGATAGTTGATATTATTATTTATGTTTCTCTTTCTAAATGTATTTTTATAAGTGGACTCATCTAAGTTATATGAACAAGACTTGCACATATAATACTTATATTAATTTGCAAAAAAAAATTCCAATACTTTGATTGGAAAACATAACAACATAAGGCAATATACAATCTCAATACAAAATAAGGTCAGACAAGAACTAGTAGAATACTGACCGAGACAGAACATGTTCCACATGCAAGTAATCCAGTTAAGATGAGGAAAATAGTGGAAAAGTTTAGCGAAATTGATCATAGGCTCATTGCGTCTGTGGACAAAGATTCCACAGACAAAGCAACCTAACTAAACACATGAACAAATGCAAAAACCTAGAATTAGAGAGTCTACAAAGTTGAGTCCAAGAAGCTGAGATCTGTGTTCAATATGGTCTATGTTGAAGTGTCTACTTCTCATGGAAGTCAGTGAATTAAAACAAATGGAAGCTTTAATTTTTTTATATTGTTAGTGAAAAAATCATTATGGGAGCAACAAATTCCAAGTCCAAGAAAGAAGGGTTGTTGCATCTTATTCTATTTGCCTTCAAATCTCAGAGGTGGTTTTTTGTTGCTCATATGTTTATGTTTGATGTTGTGTTCTCTTCTTCATGAGAGAAGAGAATTCATATATAAATTGAGGGACGCATGGAACATTGCTTACCAAAATCACATCTTGGAAAGACACTCACCATATGAGTTTGAAGAAAAGAAGATGATGCTGAGATAAAAGGAGATCATGCTGAAATTGACACGAGTAATCAGCATACAAAAGAGATTATGTCAATGTCGGCGCAACAATGACACTTTTAAGATTGAACTGAGTTTCTCTTCCTCTTCATGTCGTTGAAGAAGCATGATTGTAAACTTGTTTGAGATCTTTGGCTCTTTTACCATCACTGAACACGTCTTGCTGCTATCTGGAACTAGCAAATTCCCCTTACTTTTTTCTGTAAATGACCACCTTATAAACTTGTTAGAACAACATGCCTTCTTTACACTACTAGCTTCTCCCTTAGACACTAGTCTTTTTCTTTGCAGGGCTATCCTTTTCAGTTGTTCGTTTCTGACGTAGCAGATATAGAAAGTGAAACTGTATATTGTATTAGAGAATGTACAAGTACAATATATAGAGATATAGCTAGGTTAAACATAATGACACTACCATCATTTCCATATACACTTTAAAGCCTTAATAGCAGATGACTTCCTTGCATCATGCTTAGGTTTCTTCTCCTCTCTTTACAGCCGTCACTGTCTCTAGCACAGTTTCTGACGAAGAAGCCCTTTTCATTCTCCTAAGAAAACTTGCAGTACTCTGCCTTTTTTGAGCCACCATAATTGTTTTTACCCTACTTTTCTTGATCACTTTTTTCTGTTCAGAGCTCTCGATTGAAGACCAACACTTACTAGGGAGACGATCATCCAATCTAGCCTAACGTTTCAGCTTCCTACCTTTTAGCTGCTGAGGTTGTTCTCCCACTTGCATCTTCTTGGGAAAAATATGGGCTCTTTATCTGTTGTTTTAGTCTTTTTCTTGAACTGTCCAGTGGTTGACCAGAAAATCTAATAGATAAGGAGCTATGTTTTCGATAAGCTATAATAGACACTGACACTTTTTCTTTATAGACAAGATTGTGTCCTTAGACGTCACAAACAATTCCTCTTTTGTTGGCAAGGTTTTCTTAAACATCTTAAGAGTCATTTGCTTCTTTTTTTAGTAAGTCTCAGCAATACTTGCTCTTGGAGCTTTCATTGTAACTTTTGTCCACACACGCTCGAGAGTCATCTCAAAATCTATGTTTCCAAAAACTTTGTCCACATTCAAAACAATTTTTGTGATTATAAATGCGATTTCTCCCATGTAACTTGAGTGGGACGGAAAATTTGGTAACTTGGATTTGAGAACTCTGTTTATGTTTTAATTCCAAGATACGGCTCTACTCCAACTTCGGTTCGAATTCCATGGCCTAGTTTTTGGATCCTTCCTTTTGCCTAAGAGGCTTTGAGGTCTCATAGCTCTTCTTTGCACTGCGTCGCAAGTTATCTGAGAACGAAAGAGGTTATCCATATAGTCTTTGCAATTACGATTTTTTTTGTTAGCTTTACTAACATTATATCTTTGTAATATAGATGATAATTAAGAGATTATACTAATTCCTTCTAGAAGCAATATGGCTGCAGAATGGTGAAATTATTGGTCAAGCTCAAGGACAATAGCAGTTCTTGGCTCTCAACGATCTCTGATTTTGGGATGTTCGAGGGAAAGCGGAAAATCTTGGAGACAAGTTCCCCTGACACGTGTCTTACTTGACATCTCTGTTCAGCCTCTATATGATATTATTCTCA